TCATTAAATTTCTTTCCTTGAAAGTATTTAATCCTGGGGAGTTAGACTGCAGGTCATGTGCTTAAGTGCACTACATCCTGCTATCTCTGGTTTAAAAAGCATACTTAAATGAAATACAGCTCTATCAGCAGTCCTTCTCCTTGAAGCAATTCAAGTGTGAGTGGCTTTCAGAAATGTTTGTGTCTGACCCTTCAGATCAATTTGAGTTTCAAAGTGGTGAAGCATCGATGACTAAAGCTACACTCTTGAATTTCCATTCATCCAGACTATTTTTCATATCTGGCAGTGTGATGAGGCCACTTTTCCCTGATTTGCTTAAAAGTAGAAAATAACTGCACAAAACTGAAGGTATAAATTAATCAAGTTAGAAAATATGTATTTGGGATCTTAGTCTCAATCTGGAAAACTGAAGTGTGCAAATATTCAGGATTACTGAAGTCAAACAGAAAATTATGATCTGACAAATAGAACTTTATTTACCAAGCCAAGTATTTGATGACTTTGAAACTAGGTAAAAGACATATTTTAATGTTGATAAAAACGTTATCTTTTTTCTATTCAGGTTTCTGGAGAATAGCCTCCTAGATATCTGTGAGACTGCTGACACAGTGTTATACAACTGAGGTGATATGACACACTGACAAATTTTCAGGTTCATTTTCACTGTAATGACAGGAAAAGGATGCCAGGCTGAGAAAGCAAAAAATAAAACCCTAATAGTGCAAAGAATTGGCCAGCTTGGGGACAGTTTGATATATTGTATTAATTCAATGTCAATTACTTTTTTATTAATTTCCTTGTTTTGATTATGAGGTTAAAAGAAGAAGGTGTGATTTATGAACTGTCTGGTCCTCCTAAGAAGTCCTAACTTAAGCCCAAACCAAGCCAATTTTTTAGATAACAAAAACATCCTGACTGACAACAGCAAGATTGCTTCAAAGTACAGTTAGCTGGGTGAAGGAGCAGAATAGCTGCTATCTCTTTCTTTATGTTTCAGCTCCTTGCCTTGTATTTGCCTGCTATAGGCTACTGGCAACACATCACATATCTAAGGACAATTTTTATCCCTGATAGAATCCATATATTTGATATAGCTGGGTAGAGTAGTTGTACAAGAGCTATCTTTAAAATTACTGCCTTGGGAATTGCTGACTGTGCAGTGGCTGAGAGCTCAGCACAAGTGAAGCCCCATAGTATTCACCTTATTTCTCAGCTGGATTTTGCAGCCCACACTGAGTTCTGCTTTGCCACAGCTCAGCTGTTTTCAGTGTTGAAGATGGCTCACTAAGGTGTCCCTGACCTGCAGCCACAGCAAAGTAACATAACGAAACATAAGAGGTTCTTGAACTAGAGTTCTCTTACTCATGCAGTTTGCATAGAGAAATGCCTCTTGTCATTGAGATGCTTTACTAAAACCTTTGTTACATAGGCAGAACAAATTTCCCAAGGAAGGTGGTTGTTCTTCTCTTCCACAAGTTTTTTGGGACAAATAGAGTTTGAAAAGTCCTCTCTAATTCCTGATGATACACAAGGAGACCTAAAAATAGTTTAATTACTACTAGCCTCACTCACTATTATTGAAAATTTAACATGTAAAACTGCCACCTGGTCTCACTCATAGGGATCTATCATTTCTGCAGTAGAAATTATAAAAGCAGACTCAAAGAAATATAAATCTCCTTACAGGGCAGGGAGATGCACTTAACTACAATTAAAAATTAGCATTTATTCAGTAGCTCAGATTTCATTCAGTATTTCTCCTAAATAAAGGATGACACAATGAAGTGCAAGGATGGATTGTGGTACAGAATGTCTAAGCTACTAAGGGTGCAAGTCTGTAAGGATCTTTAAATCAGAGTCCCAAAAGCAGCCTGATGGTGCACCTTAATTAGTATTTTAGACTCTATATAAGTGACCAAAACCACACTACATTCATGAACATCTTTTTAACTTCATTTACACTTTTTCCAAGATGATTTGTTGCTATAGTTCACAAAATTTTATTACATCCCTAGAAGCAAAAGGAAAATACGAATGCATAGCTTATGAACTAATAAAATGTCATGACTATTTTTCAAGATTAAATATGCCATGTGAATTCTTTTTTTAAATAGAAGAGCAGTATAAAAATTAAAATGAGTAGTAGAAATATTTAGTTTAAGGAATATTGATACTATTGGATACAGGACATATCCAACAGGACAATAGCCAACACAAGAATCAGTCAGATTGATTAATGAATCCATTATTTTATATTCATTTTATGAGATGGATCTATGAAATTTTAACCCCAAATTTATATTTTACTTAAAGGAAAAAATGGTCTCAAAGAGCACAATATTTCAGAATATTTCTATCATGTCCTATTAGTTTAAAGGTAGAAATAAGAAATGTATATTCCTGCTAGTTTAAAGGTAGAAATGTTGAGAAATGCATATACATTCTGCCAAACTTGTCCTATTAATCTATCACAGAAACAAAGAACAGTTTAATTTGGACTGAGACACACAAGTAGTCTTTTTCACTCTTAAACCTGTGCTAATTAGAAGCAATTGCTTTAACTGTGAGCATAAACCAATAAATGCAACTGTTCCTCTTCCTATATAAACCTAATTTCTTGCAAACAGACATAAAAATCACACAAAATAGGGTTTCAGAAGTAGAGATAACCAACTTTATGACTACTTTTATTTGCTTTCCATTCAGTTTATCTCCCTGAAAACAAACAAACCTTTACCATTTGTTGCATGGAGTTCTCATCCTCTGTGATTCCCTACCAGTTCAACAACAAGATTCAGGAGAACTACAGAGCAGCCTGTTTGTTCTCCCCAGAACCCTACATATTACATAACACAGAAATTTGAAACAGTATTCCCAAAACTGGCATGTCTCAGTGACACAAAAACTGAGGGAAATTCAGGAAAAAAACCCATGTCAAATTAGACATTTGTTTTAAATAAATGATCTATAATCATATGTAACTTATTCAAGCAATAAATCTATACAACCTAAAGTGGCAGGATGACTTCACATGCAATTACACCTAATGCTAAATACCTTATAACTCAGAGCGACAAGATTTATTTCATTTGGTCCATTTTTAGTATAAGAGCCAACATGATTCCAGATATGGCTTGCAAGCCAGGCCAGTTAAATAACTTCCACATTTATAGCTTAAAATAAAACTACATTTTTCTATACAGCTGAATGTTCTTCCCAATAAAATGCCAAGAGGAAAATATCATAGTGGAATATGGAAAATGAACAGAAGGAATTACAGTACATTTGTATTGTCAACTCATTGATCCTGTTAGATCTTTTAAATATCATGCATGCCCTCATGAATGTCCTACAGCTTCCTTGCTTATACTCTAGGCCTCTGATACAAACTATTTTAAACTTTACAGAAAATATACTTCCAGATTAAGACATAAAAATGTCCTTTATAGGATCTGTGCTGCATGCTGATCTTGATGGATTTACTATGCCTAAGAAAAATTCTTGTGTTCAGCAGACAGCAGAATTCCCAAGCCTGCTATTTTAACTAATGAAAACCTCATCTATTTTTAAAAATATTAATTAAAATTGAAAGATTTTTTGTTGAGCCCCATTACTAGGAAGGCAGGTAATGAACTCCCCCTACCAATTTATTAGGTATGTGTATGGCAGTCTTTCCACTGCAATACATATGTTTATCTTAATTATTCAAGTAGCAGCATGAAAAACAAAGATAATTTGTTCCTGGATAATTTGTTATTTTCTTCCTCTACTGAAAAGCAACCCACAGTATTGTCCTGCACAGACTAATTTTTTTTTAGATTATCAGAGACAAAATTAAAGTCAGAAACAAGCAGGAGAAGCAAGCAGTCATGCTGATGTTCAAGTCAGATTCTGGTCCATTCTGTGCAACAATGCTACAAAGATGCTATCCTATTTTGTGCCAGCTTTTAGACTGCTGCTCATAATGCAGGTTCCGGCAAGTCTTCTTTAGCCCAAATTTAAAAGAGAAGTAGGAAATAACGACCCACTCCACCTTACCTTGCATACTCCAAAGCTGTATCTTGCTATCTGGCCCTCATACACTATGCCTGATATAGCTCTGGCATTCCTTCAACATTAGTTCAGCTGTGAAATCAAGAAGGTGCATCCCCTTACACAGACCACATCAGTAACGTGATGTTAGTCAACAACCATCTGTCATCCCTGAACATTACCCAAATCATGATTCCTCACCAAGACTGCACAGGTTGGAAAGCCAACTGCCTGTTTCAAATAGGTCTCTGCTGCTGAGAGCTGTCATTTGTCACAGCAAACTCTCAGTCCAATTACTTAGAGCAAAATTACTATATTCTGCAATTCCTGTACCAGGTGATGACTAAAGACTTCAAACAAGGGTAATGGAAGAGATCATATAATTTTGGAGAAAATATACAGAATTCTTATAGATAATATCATAGTTAGAGATCATATCTGACTTAGCAAAATTCTATTGGTTTTTAACTATTTTAACTCATTGCTGTTCAAACCTATATATAACACAAACAGCAGTCTGTCAACTGTCATTTAATAGTTCTCTTAAATCTCATTAAGTATTTAATTTTTAAAAATGGATCAGATATTGTTTCACGTAACATGAAAATGCAGAGTACTTTGACTTTTGAAGTAGTTCCATAATGTTTTTGCTAAGGGGTACTTATTAAAAAGAAACAGGTTGATTAAAGGATTACTGCAAAAGGCTTGTCTACAAGAAACTCTTTCTAATTTGGCTTTTTACAACCTTGTATTTATCTAGGAAAGTATTTAAACATCAGCTTGGTTTTCACTTCTACAACATTTTGCTATTAATCTTTATTCTGATGTAAAGCTGTTATAGTAGCTAACGGAAGACTATAATCATACTGTGATAAACAGAGTACTGCATGCTTAAACACATAAACCTACATATTCTATAGATTAACACTTACACCAATGACTCTGTAAGGGATGATTTAGTGATTTACCTGGTCTTGAGGAAGGAACTCTTGCTATCTCTAGGGAACAAGGCTTTTTGGTGACTGCTACGTCTATTGAATCACAAAGACTGCTGTCATTTTCTGAAGGAACTGCATCCAGAGGTACAGAGGGTATTGCTTCCAATGCATAACCTCTCTTCTTTGAATAGGATTCCTGAAATGCAAAAATTTATGTAGGTAAGAGAGATATTTCTCAGATGACACAGGAAATTGACCAGGCTCAATAACTCTGGCCAGCATGGTTTAGAATTCAGCAAATTAAATACCACATTCTGCTGAAATCCAAACTGTAACAGACCAGAATAATTACTTGCATGCTAGAAGAAAACATTTCTTATTTCTTTAAATTTTTGTATAATACAGTTCTTGTTCAGTTTACAGAAGAACTTCATTCATCATACTTTTTATTTAATGAAAACTGGATTACTGCTTTTGCAATACCTGTTTTGCTAGGTTGTAATTCAGGGGATGTCTCATTTTCTTTTTTAATTGTATCTCATGAGAGCAACAATTACATTAACTGCTACAACTACATTCTCTTCAGGGATGGTTTTGCAAAATATTTATATTACATACAAGAAAACTAAAAATATGCCTTCTACGTATGGATGGCAGGATCCCAGGCTGTGAATGAAGAAGAATTACTGCTCTACATTTGAGCAAAATAATGACAAAAGGTCCCATAACAGCAGTATATACAGCAAATTCTACTGATTGGCAAATGTTGAGGGGGAAAAGGGGAAATATAAGTTTTTCTGGTACAGTTACCCAACCAAGCAGACTGTTTCTAGTTTCAAACATGAATAAGAATATAACATTCTGTTTCAACAGAGTTTCACCAGAAATTATTTTTCAAAATACTGGCAGAAAGAAATTGCATGGCCAAAGACATATTTACACATCTTTCTTACACTGGACATATGGATGTCTCTGAAAGTAAGCATCAGACGTAAATCAAATATGATATAATAAAAGGCAAAGGGCAAGAAAGCACCCTGACAGTTAGATATTATCATAGCCCTACTAAGAAAATGATTGAAGAAGGTGTTGTCTAAAACAAAATGTGAAGTAACAATTTCTTCACCAAGAACTTATATTACCTAAGGTAAGCTATGGCTGTAGGTAACAATGCCTTTTCATATAAATTATTTATACTGTAAGCAAATAATTACATGATTCTTCATTTTTTGGGTTTTTTTCCTGGTCGTTGTGGTCATTTTATCTATATGTAGGTTCATAGTTTGGCAATAATTCAAGATCTCTTGAAAGATAGGGTGTGACACCAAGAGCAGCTTCACTACAAAATTATTGATGACTTTCGTAGAGACCAATTTAAATCTCACGTTAAACTCACAAAGAACTTGAAAATTAACACCGAAAACAGTGATCAGGGGAAAAAAAATCATACAAATAAAATAAATAGAATAAACAGAAAAATAAATAAATAAAAAATAAATAAATGGAATACTAAGTTGAATTTTTAATTTTAAAAAAATTAGTACGTACTAGCAAACAATACAAAATTGGTGGTCAGCATTCAAAAAACATATATTAAAAAGGAATGCAATTGCATCTCCACCTGTTTCTTCCTTTCCAGTTTCTACCTAGTCAGATTATGACCTCTCAGTAATCTCACATATACAGACTAATAACAACTAGTTTCAGGTAGTAGACATTACAAAGATTATAAAATTTTGCAAGTAGACTTCCTGCAGCTCCAAATGTAACTTTATTAACTTAAGCCATTTAATTCCTTAAATGAAGTTAATAGAAAAATTACGCAGAGGCATCGAAGCAGTTGAAGTGCAACTGCAGGACAAGAGAAGGAATCCTTCTAAACTTGAAAAAAAAAAAGAATTTTTACCCTGCCCATTTAAGTCTGCTGTAAAAAAGGCAGAGGAAAAAATTATTTAAGAAAGCAATGACTAAAAAAGAAGAATTCAATTTAATCCTTGTACTCTTCTAGAAACATGCATTTAAATCAGAATGCCAAAACCCTAATTATAGTAAATCTGCCTGGAGAAGTGCATGAAGAAATACAGCAGCCTTAAAATTGTCACAAAACACCAAAGGGAAATTCTCTTCAGTGCCTGATTTCAGCTACATTAAAAAAAAAAAAAAAAAAAAAAAAAAACAACCCAAAAAACCAAACAATAACCAGCATTAAAATTGATACACCAAACATTAGAATAGACTTCGGACCATACTTTGTGTCACCCAACACTCTGTCTGTGAAGGCAGCCAGCAGTGCTGACCTAGAGAACAGCAAAACCAGCCTGGGATTAGGTCAAGCATGCAGTAACTGCTCCTCCTTCTGCAACACCTCGTGGGCCTCACATTCAGAGTCAAAGGTGCTGACTTTGTTTCACATGTCTACCAATCCAACTTTCAAGAATTACCTTCCCAAGTTGCCTTTAGAGCACACGTCCCCTTTCATAGTCTGCGTGGCCCCATTTTGTTTTTAGCTATATCACCAAGTCTGACATTGCTGTTTTATACTTTAGATGGCAATGAAGGGTTGTTCTTTATTTATTTCCTCCTTGTGATGTCACAGACATATGCACTTCCCATGTCCTCTCCTTTAGGGAATGAGAAATACTAACTGACTTACCCAGCTGTTCCAGGATTTTGACCATCCCTGTCACCCTTCATCCTCTCAGTCTTCAATGATGTGACAGGGATGACATTTTCTCAGATTTCCTCATTCAAGATGAGGGCTACCCAAGCAGTCATACTGACATAATGATTTTTTTGTACTCTAATCCCTTCCTAATTGCTCTTAACATTCAGTTTGATTTTCTGAATGTTATTCAACATTCAGTAATTAACTTTGCATGAATAGAAATGTCAGAAAAGAATAAATAAAAATGATGGGGTTACTAGAAAATTGTTAGAATGTAAACTACCAGCAATTAAATTCTTCCTAATTATCTCTCTAATACATAAAATACAATAATTGTATGTCCAGCAGAAGTTAAACGAGTTAGAGACAAAAAAGAACTGTTAATACTTTAGGAAGACAGAAATTCTATCAATTCATTAAGTGAAGATGACAAACCTTTATTAAAAAGTGCATATGTAACACAAAGAAAAAAGAAAGGCATTGTAAAGTCTTCTGGTTGCTGCAAAATGTTCTCCATTTTGCTGGTACTGAGCATTTATAGACATTTCTAAGATCTAAACTAATTCACCAACTTAGATGTTAGCAGATGTTGTAAGATTCTAAGTATCAGATGTGAAGCAATGTGCTTCTGTTCCTTTCTAAGATTGAAAGCTCTCGACCAACTGCAATAAGTAACTACAGTAATTCTACATGTCCTAGTTATTACCAACTCCACAATAAAACCTCCTAAAAATACTTTTCCTTTATCTTTATTCCTGAAGTCAAAATCTGAGTCTAATTTTTGTTTCAAAAATAGAGATTATTCAATCTCAAATGTCTATTAACCACTCCAAATTTCTGAACATGAGACATATAACTGACCACCACCATCAAGACAGAATTTGTCCTTATTTGAAATTATAACTTCACAAAAATAATGTGCTGGGCTGCTAGTACATGAAAATAAGTAATTTTTTTGTGGAAAGGATAAAAATACATACACAATAGAAGTAGAAAAACCCCCAACATTAAGAGTGAGTGAGTCACTCTAGTGGGAAATCACTAGAGAACAGCCACCCATACTGATCAATGTAAATTAGATTTTTTGTCTTGTAGAAAGAAACAGTGAGACTGCAGTTGCAGAGCACATGCCAGGGACACACTGCAGCCCTTATTCATGGGCCTGCAGTCAGCTGGGTCTCCTCTGAGCATAAGTTTTAAAGTATAATACCTATGATACACTACCTGAAACCTGCACAGGGGTAAGAGATTGTTAATCAGTGGGAATGAAATTGTTCCTAAAATATCTATTTTTGACCATTGCAAAGGGTTATACACAATTGTGAAACAATGTGCCATAACATGACTAAATCTTCAAGAACTACATGATGTTGAGTTGGACCTTTTTTTTTCCACATTTTTTCCAGGTTTCTAGCTTCCCTTGCTTCTGCCTTCTATATAGTCTTACCTTCCTTTTAAGAATCAAACTGAATGATGTATGATTAAGGGCTGAGGCGAATGCAAGTTTGTTTTTGCATGAGCTATGAATAGAATGATAGAGGCTCAGGAGGCACCTAATCTGAACTGACACTGACAAGAAGACAGAATTTGTACTTCACAGATTTTTTTAAAATTCTGCCAATACCCTTTCCTATAAAAATCAGGTCACTTGAAGCGTTATTACTTCCCTGGAACATGGGACAACACACCAGGGTCATACATTACTCTCCTCTAACAGTAGATATAATCTGAGAAACATAGAAAGGAAGAATGCAATGCATCAGCCACATTTAGAAATATCTTTTCCATTTATATAGATAGTGAAGAACAGCTATTAAATTCTGACATACCCCTTGAGATCCACGCCTTGAGATCCACCAGGGTATTGTGCTATCTCCTCTGGCTTGTTGAAGGCCAGAGGACCAGCATCTAGAATCCTTCCCATCATAGTATGATTCTGCTCAGCTGCTCCTTAGAAGACTACTATGACACTGTGTTGATGAACCTTTGGAGAGTTATTGCTCTTATATGCTCCATCAACCCAAAACTCCTGATTATCCTGAGAGTGAGCAATGAATATTGCATAGAATCATAGAATTATTGAATGGTTTGGGTTGGAAGGCACCTTTAAAATTCATCTAGTCAAAACCCTTGCTATGGGTAGGGGCATCTTAAACTAGACCAGGCTGCTGAGAGTCCCTGACCTTGAATGTTTCCAGGGATGGGACATCTACCTCCTCCCTGGGTAAACTATTCCAGTGATTCACCATCCTCACTGTAAAAAATATTTTCCTTGCATCAAGTCTGACTGTACTCACATCAAACAGACTTCTTGACATTCGTAAACAGACTGATATATAACCTTGTTGGATTGGGACACTTCACACTGAAATATTAATGATAAGTAACTGAAGGTTGCTGAGAGTAGTCAAGAATTCAAGCAAGAAAGAAGTCCTGACCAGTAACTAAAGACAATTAGAAGAGTTTTCTGACATGCAGCAAGGTGGAAAGGGAAATGCATGAACCTTAATGGCATTGCAACAAGTTTGCCA